CTAGGGACACTTCAGAGCATGGTTTTACATCCATGCCCATCCTGGCTAATAGCCATTGATGGACCTATCCTCCATGAACTTATCTAGTTCTTTTTTGAACCCAGTTATACTTTTGGACTTCACAGCATCCCCTGGCAATAAATTCCACAGGTTGACTGTGCATTGTGTGAAGAAATACTTCCTTTTATTTTAAACCTGCTGCCTATTAATTTCATTGGGTGACCCTAGTTCTTTTGTTAGGTGAAGGAGTAAATAATATTTTTGTATTCACTTTCTCCACACCACTCATGGTTTTATAGACCTGTATCATATCCCCCTTTAGTCATCTTTTTTCCAAACTGAAAAGTCCCAATTTTTTTAATCTCTCCTCATATGGAAGTTGTTCAATATCCTTCATCATTTTTGTTGCCCTTTTCTGTACCTTTCCAAATTCCAATATATGTTTTTGGGGCAACCAGATCTGCACGCAGTATTCAAGATGTGCGTGTACCATGGATTTATATAGAGGCAGTATGTCTTGTTCTCTATCCCTTTGCTAATGGTTCCTAACATTCTGTTCACTTTTTTGACTGCAGGTGCACATTGAGTGCATGTTTTCACAGAACTATCCACAATGACTCTAAGATCTTTTTCTTGAGTAGTAACAGCTAATTTAGACCCCATCCTTTTATATGTATAATTAGGATTATGTTTTCCAATATCCACTACTTTGCATTTGTCAACATTGCATTTCATCCGCTGCTTTGTTGCCCAATCAATCACCCAGTTTTATGAAATCCCTTTGTAACTCTTCGCAGTCTGCTTTGACTTAAATATCTAAACTTTGGTCTTAACAAAAAGACCAAAGTTAAACCTAAAAAACATTCCTGCAGCAGCTGGCAGACCTTGTCCAAGAGGAGGGGACAATACAGGATACCCATATGGAGTGGCCTTCCGTGGCAGTTGGAAATGGCGGGAGGACAGAATGTTGGGGCCTGAAGGTTCCATGGCAGTTGAAGGAGACATTTGCTGTGCCAGTGTAACCCCCTTTCCTTGATGGGCTGTTGTGGAAGAGATCCTTAGTTACTGCTAAATTAGAACCAGTTAGACTTGTTGAAGGAACCCAGTGTTACTAGACAGGTACCCACAGTAGGGCGAGCAGGCTCCAAATTAGGCCAGATGCCACAACTGTCTTGGGAAGGTCAGATGAGCTTCTCCTGGGCATGCTCAGAGTCAGCAGGGAAAGAGCCATACCAGGCATCCATGTTGACAGTACTTCACATGCCTCCTTTAGGGTGGTAGCAGCTGCCCCTAGAAATACAAGTGGGGTGTGACAGAAAGGCCAGACACACTAGAGAGAGCAGCTCTAGCTATGGGGCCACCTGGCCTTGCACTTTGTAGACCCTGAGCAAGGACTTAAGCTGAGATGCTCAGGAACTGACAGAGGGAATATGTTCACTGGCAAAGCATGTGCCATCTGTCCCTCCAGTGCTTGAGCTGCATGGAGAATAACCTACTACCGCTACCTGCTAAATGAGTCCATCTGTTAGCTCATAGGGATAGAGGCCTGTGCCGTATTTAGTGGCTAAAGATCCCAGCTTCGGCCTGCCTACCCATGCTATGGGGTGGACAAACAAGAGTAGTGATCAGAAAGGAGGAGGAGAAAATCCAGAAGGAGCTCCTACGTGGAGCTGGGGAGGAAATTGTTTTCCGTCCCATGAAAATTTTCAAATTTTTGGAAATTTTTCCCATCCTGAATTGGGATGCAAAGTCAAAATTTTGAAATCTTTAGTGAACTGAAAATCTGGAGGGGGGGGGGGGGGGAGTGTTCAGGTTTCATTTTGATAATTTCATGATGTTTCATTTTAATTTTGACCATTTTTTATACTATTCCCCACTATAATTAGCTTAAATTTCCAAATGAAAAGTTGCTTTGAAATAGAAAAATTAAAATTTTAATTAAAAAAAATCTCAAAACAAGTAGTTTGAACAATTTGAAAACGGTTGAGTTGGTTTTGTTTTTTCAGTCAAGAAATTTGTCAAAAAATTTCCCACAAATAGTTTTGGTTTCAGCAAATAGGCATTTTTGATGGAAACATTTTATCAACATATTTCCAACCATCTCTAGTCCTCTGCAGATAACAGAAAGCTAGATCTGACAAACAGGGGGAGGAGATTTAATTTACATAATGTTAATAGTTCTATTGCATTCATCACCAACACGTGTGTTAGACACACACAGACTGAAGAGCCCTGATGTTTTAAACCTAGGACCACGTAACACACACAGAGCATTTATTTTACACAGACATAGAACATTTCAGCCATAGCTCTCAAACTGCTGCATGGAGGAAGGTTGGTCTTATCACCCTCAGTTTACAGATGAGGAAAGTGAGGTACTGATAGAAGTGACTTTTAAAGTTTAACACAGCACATCACAGCCAGAATACCTACAAGTCCTGACTCCCTGTCTTCTTGCTCTAACCAACTAGACCACACTCCCTTGCAAGAGCTGGGGATAGAACCCAGGAGTCCTGATCTCTCCAGTGCCTTCAAGACATAACATATTCCACCCTTTTTGTCTCTGTAACAAGGTAGGAAACTCGCATCTCTCAAGCCAGAGTCAGTAACCACTCCTCTCCAGATGCGTCAAATCCTGAGCCAAGCTCCAATTTACCCAGATACTCTTAAATGAAAGAGAAGAATAGACAAACAGAAATACTAAAATAAATAAAGCTTCCCCTCTAGATATAGACAATGCAAAGCCAGGCTGGGGATGTGAATCATGAAGGCTCTAACCTTAGGGATCAGGATGGATTTGTAATTTATTATTTATATTACTAGTGCAAAGGGTCATCACTGAGATCAGGCCCCCATCATGCCAGACACTGCATAGGCCTGACCGAGATCAGGACCCCCATCGTGCCAGGTGCTGCACAGACACAGTGAGAGACAGTCCCTGCCCCAAGAAGCTCACTGTTTAAATAAGACAAGGAATAGGAGGGGAGACAGTGGCAAAATGACTTGCTGAAGGTCACATAGCAAGTTGGTGGCAGAGCCTGGAATCCGTGTGTGAGATGTTTAATGATTCCTGCTGAGCAAGGGGCAGAGCAGGGGGAAATGAACCCCATTCTGGGGCAGTTTGCACCTTGAGGGCTGCAGTAATTCCTGGAGGTGTTTGTTGTGAAGCAAAACAATCAGCCTCACTTTTTCCTCCATCAACTGCTTTGTGGCTTATTCACATCACACAGCTGCTAATGTCAGTCAGACTATCCAGGATTGCACCAGTGACCTCAAAATAGAAAAGTATAAGCTGTTATAGCAAAGACCAAACCCCTTTTAACCAGGGCTGTAACAGACTCGTATCCTTTGGGGATCAGGGACGGGGGGGGAGCTATGACACACATCACCAGTGGGTTACTCTACTGCCTCTCAGCTAACAGGCCTGGTCCATTAGCTCAGGCCAAAGGTGACTGTGGGGAGAGCTCAATGGGAAATGTTTTTGGTTTTTTTCTCCCACCCTGAAGTTTTTGATGAGAAAAGGAGGAAAAATCACTTGCCTATATTTTTCAAGGAAAATTTTGTTTTTTTCCAGCAAAAAATGGAAAATTTCAGCCAAAACAAAAAAATTAAATTTGGAAATGCTTCATGGGAGTTGTAGTTTTGGTGCCTCGTGCTCCCATTCTCTTCCATAGGCTGGCAGTGGCCTATCTGGTTGGACTACATCTCCCATGATGCACTATGGTCACCCCTAGGAGATGGGAAGTAGTGCATCATGGGATATGTAGTCTGTAGAGTACAACCAAACCACAACTCTCAGGAAGCACTAGGGCACGTACACAAATTGAAACATTTCAGTTTCCAGCTTAAATTTTTCTGTTTTCGGGGATCTGTTTCTTTAATAAAAAATATTCAACATTTTCCATGGAATGTGAACACTTTTCATGGAAAAACTTCATTTAATCAAAAATCTAATATTTCATCCAAATAAAGTTTAAATGAAAATTTTTCAGCCATTATAATTATGCCCGGCTCTTATCTAGTGATTTCCATTAGAAGATCTCAAAGAACTTTACAGTATCATTGTCTCCATTTTGCAGATGGGGAAACTGAGGCACAGAGGTGGCCGTTACTTGCCTGAGATCACCCAGCAAGCCAGAGACTGAGCCAGGAAGAGAACCCAGAGGTCCTAATATAGTGCTCTGTCCACTAGACCAGTGCTTCTCAACCTTCCCAGATGACTGGATCCCTTTTAGGAGTCTGGTTTGTCTTGCATACCCCCAAGTTTCACCTCCACTTAAAAACTACTTGCTTACAAAATCAGACATAAAAATACAAATATGTCACAGCACATGAGTACTGAAAAACTGCTAACTTTCTCATTCTGTCTGTATGAAATTTTAGTTTGTACTGACTTTGCTAGTGCTTTTCATGTAGCTGCTGTAAAACTAGGCAAATATCTAGATGAGCTGATGTACCCCCTGGAAGACCTCTGCCTACCCCCAGGGATACATTTACCCCTGGTTGAGAACCACTGCACTAGACCACACTGCCTCACAGCCCAGCTCCAGATGTTAGATCCACAGATCACAGGTTCAGTCCCTGCATTCCTTATAGCTGCTCTCTTCTCACTCCAGCGTCTCCTGCCCAGACCCAAAACCTAAGTGCAGATCCCATCACCCACTCTCCTCTTTCACAGGCTCAGCATACCACATCCCACCAGCCTCCCCCTCGAGGTCCCGTGCCTGGACGAAGGGGTCCTTGTAGACCCGTGTCCCCACAGGTCCGTTGGTGGGGTCTCCATGGTTCAGGTGCTCAGCCTGGTGCCGGGTTAGTGCAGCACTATGCCTGAAACCCCTGCCGCATTCAGCGCAGAAACAGGGCCCCTCCTGAGCATGGACGCGCCGGTGCCGGCTCAGGGCCGAGCTAAGCTTGAAGCTCTTCCCGCAGCGGGTGCAGGGGAAGGGCCGCTCGCCAGTGTGGACCCGCTGGTGGCGATCCAAGCTGGAGCGGATGGCGAAGCACCTCCCGCAGTCAGGGCACTGGTAGGGCCTCTCACCCGTGTGCGTGCGCTGGTGTTTGATTAACTCTGAGTTTTTCGTGAAGCTTTTCCCACAATCCCCGCAGTTGACGGGCCGTGCCCTCCTGCGCCTGCGCCCTGGCTCCTTCTCCGCCCGCTGCCGTCCTGTTCTGCCGCCATCTCCCTGTTCAGGGCTCCGGGACGTCCCATTCAGCTCCGCTCCTGCAGGCCCTTCCTGCTGGGAATTCTCCTTCTCTCTCCCGGCACCTGCGGGAGAATCCAGGCGGGAATCATAATTTTACCAAGGTCCAAAATTCATAGCTTCATAGATTCTAAGGCTAGAAGAGATCACCTAGTCCAACCTTCTAGAGAGCGCAGGCCAGAGAACATCCCCAAATTACTTCCTGTTTGAAGTAGCAAAGATCTTTTAGAAAAACGTCCAAACTTGATTTAAAAATTGCCCAGGATGGGGGGGACTGGCTGGCTCAGGGGCTCTTGGCCTCTTCCCATGCAAGCCTCTCAAGCACTGCTAGCTAGCTTTGGGGTCCTGTCCCCCAACTCTAGGAACGAACCCCTCCTGTAACATCAGCCACCTGCTCTACTGAGGAAACGACCAGCTGAATCAGTGCTGACCCCAGTGCGACACTAGGGGGCGCTGTGCTGCAGGGAGCAAGATTGGGGGGTCACTAGGGCGTGCCCTCACCTTGCAGTCAGTGCTGGCCCAATGCAGCGACAGGGGGCACTGGGTTGCCAGGAGCGAAGGGGGGGCTCAGTCAGGGGCCCTTTCCCTTCACAATCTGTGCTGACCCCACTGTGTCCCACCTGGCTGCTTAGAGATTCCAGTTATCTCTATGATGTATAGGAATTGCATAGTATTCCTTTAAATAGCATGCGAGCCCTCTAGAGGCGTACACTGTGTGTTTTAGAAGCCACCAGAGGTGTAATATGCACCTAGCTGGGCTTCGCTATCTGTGTGTAATTAGTCCGGGTGGTTACATTGGGCCCAGCTGGGCCTGAGTTGATTCTTCAGATTATTGCTGTTGTGTAAAGAGCAAAAGACATGGACAGACTCTCCTAAATCCCGGGGGCTGGGAGCTGCTGTTCAGAACTCAGGGGCAGCTCCCGGTGGCTTTGCTGGGGTCCAGGACTGACGCCTGCCATGAGGACAGGTGCCTGCTGGGGACAATACTAAGGGAGATCAAACAGAACTGGGGGGCTCCCGGCAGCTTTGCTGGGATCCCAGCTTTTCCCTTTACTCCCAGACGGTCTCCGAGCCAGTGTCGCTCATTCCTCACCTATGTGGGCACCTCTCGGGATCTCCCTTTCCTTGGAGCACCGGAGATCCGGGACCCTCGGCTCTTCCCTTCGCTCCATGCAGGAGATCACGGCCAGGTCGGGGACAGGGAATCCTGCTTAGGGGAAGGAAACAGGAGAGGTGGTGTAGTCTCCCTGGAGGGCTCGGGGCAGAGAACACACCCTCGTTTTAAGCCCGACCCTGTTCTCTGCTGGGGGGATATGTTCACAGGGACCCTTGGGGCAGGGTGATGCCTTGGGGGATGGGCTGTGCCCCCTGTAAAGGAGTCAGGGATCTCAACACACAGTGAGGGGCC